TCCTCGCAAATTTGGTCCCAATCTGGCTCAGTTTGTGCAGTACCATCACGTTCCCATACTGAGGGCTCTGTCCATGACTCCACAACGGCTTCGTTCGCTTTCCAGAGCGTTGGCAGTGCAGACGTGCCCTGAGTAAGCGCCAAGAAGACTGCTATGATGACTAATAAAGTTGATGTGTAGATGACGCTGCTTGTAAGCGAATGTCGCCTTCGATTCAATCCCTGCATGAAATCACAGTACTGTATAAAACAAACATATACGGTCAACCCCCGCACAGCAGACTTAATTCATGCAATTGCGTGAAAAGTATGTTATGCAAATTCGATTATTAAAAATGTAAAATTTTTACTTATTACTGTACTATTATAATTTTAAACCAACATAAGTCTTATGTGGATTTAGTCCAATGTGCAGGATCAGGCAAAACTTCAACTCTAGTGTGTGGGAGGTCCATTTTGCAGGGATTGACTGTATCTATACAGTATATGGTATGAAAATATACTGATACAAAATACTGTCCTTTAATTCTGCTAAGTGCTACACAGCAGATGCCATTTGTAGAGACCTTTACTTGCTGTCTGCATTTCCATTTATGTTTGCGCATTTATGACAAATGATGAGTTACAAATTCCCTATGAACTCATGTCTTCTGACAAAACTTCATTTCCCTTCTGAACAATTAAATTTGTATGCATTTCTAAGCACTTATCATATAGTCAACTTCAAAGGCAATAAAGAGCTGCTCTTTCACTCCATTTTTCACTGATATATGTGACAATATTAATTCATCTGTGATCTTTCACTCAGGAGCTTATTGTACAGCCAGACATTAGGGAATTTTCCACTGAAAGGCATTTAAAATGTTGAAAAGTTTTAAACTATATTGTACATATGTGCACATTGCAGCATATGGTGGTGAACAAACAAAACATTATGTCTGCTTTAAAAAATATCATGGCGGATATGTATCCACCTTGCTATGCTGTAAAGTGAAAAAATGTCCGTTTATGTCTGTCCTGCATCTATATACAGTATTTTCACTGATACAGTATATGATTTCAAGTGAACTCACAGCCATGAAAGAAGTCGGTGAATCGTAATGTGCAAAAATGCCAAAATAGACGATGTTTCACAGAGCACAACCAAAGAATATCCTGTTTTGCCAATTCACGGATCTGCAGGACTCCCTGTAATTGTACTTACAATTATACCCGGGTTCTTTGTGCGATAAAAATGGGCGACAATTTATTGTCTTTCATGTAGATAAGAATTTCATGAAACACGCGCGAGAAAAAAACTTCAATAATATCCTAATACCCCCAAAAAAGCATCCAATCGAACTATGAATCAACGAAAAAATATTCCTTTGAATTTGACATCAATTATGACGAAGAAAAAGTGAGGGCTTTCTTCGCAATTGTCGTCAGTGGACAAGAAAGTCCGCCTTTCGGCGCCGGTGTTCTGGAGGTCCTGACGTAAGCATCATGTGTGGGAAAAAATAGCGGCAAACAAAGAAGGGGGCGAAAATAAAAAGGGGGGAAATAAATTGGCGAGTCATTATCAAAAAGGAAGGAAAGGAAGAATGTCTGATAAGTGAGTATCGCGCGATTTTATGTGCACAATTACTAGGGATATAAGAAAAGAGAGAGAAAAAAAACGACGCGACATTGACGTCAAAGTTAAGCCGCCATCATGACTTGGGAGATTTGGCACATGCCATTTTTTTTGTCGAGCCTCCTATGATGCTTACTATTTTTAGGTTGTTGTTTATATGCATATAGTAGAGTCGTGTTACAGTAAGAAAACCCATTGGATCTAGAGGAGTTTTGTTATTTTGACATTCACAAGGCAATGTGGTAATCCTGCAAGGGATTGCAGAACATTGATTAAAAATACTTTTGCCTTAATTTTCAACTGAATCATTAACTACCATATTAATGCATGGGTACAAAAGTCTACAACATCAAATTTGCAAGTACTGTAAATTTTTATTGGATCATTATTGACTCATCATTTGTTTTCATATTGAGATTTTACTGTACCTGTGAAATATATTACAGTCAAACCTCTCTAAGTCAAATTTCAAGGGACCAGCAACCCCTTACCCATTACTTAGGGACACCAGAGGTTCTGAATTATAAAGGTTTGAGCTACAATACAAAGCCCTTTTGTTCCAGGAAACATGGAAAAATTGCAAGACCCTGGCGCCAGTGACACTGTGCGGACAAGTTTGGAGAACTTGTCCACACCTTTCTGGCACCAGTGTCTGGCAGCTTGTACTCTGGCGGACAAGTTCTCCAAATATGTCCACCAGAGCACACTTTTTGAGGGCATTTTCTCCAAAAGATGTTCCTAGAACTCATTTGGATGAGTTTTGGACATCTTTTGGAGAATTTCTTGCTCACTGGGCTGTACTAAAATCTTAACATTGCTGTAAAACTTCAATTACCGAAATTCAGTAGCATGGACTTTACGGTATATTCTCCCTAGGAAATTTATACAGTACTTCACCAAAAAATATATATTATACTGTACAGTGGCCCCCCGCCTAACAGACCACCCGTGTAAGAGATTTTTGCCAAACAGACCAGCTCTCCAAGCAGTTTTTCCTCCTGCCCAACAGACAAAATCCTCCAAACAGACTTCTTTTGGTTTGAAATTAGTGTTGAAAATTGAAAAAAATTGAAATTTTTAATTTTTTACGTAATTGAATTCGTGTAAAGGACTTTTTGTCTAACAGACTCATCCCTTGCACAAATCAAGTCTTTTAGATGGGGGTTGACTGTAGTAGCAACATTTAGAAACCACCAGCAGAATTTTACTTTAATCATTTTAATTTAGATTAATGGAAAATCTGTCCAGAATCTCTTAAAATTATTAAAAATTTTTGCTTACAACTAAATTTATACAGATCTTTGTAGTAAAAGTGCGCAATGCATGCTAGTCTTGATGAGATAGAATCTCATTACAATGATCAAATTTTCAACACAAAAACATTTTAAAACAAAATACAATGATTCAGGGTGACCAGATGTGGACAAAATTGGTGCATCAAGAGTGTCCCTAAGTTGAATTGTCCCTAAGTTGAATCTTGTTTTCCAATAAACTTAAATTATATAATTTTTAATTGGTGTTTTAGGGAAGAAATATTCTCCAGAATACTATTGAAAATTTTTTCATGGTGTTTTATGAAAGATATATTCCCAGAATTCCATTGAAAAAATTTTTTGCCACTTGAATTTGATTCAGTGAATAACTTTCAACCCAATAAAAGCATTAGGAGCATTGAATAGTGTACCTCTGTACACTACATTGAAATGTTGGCATCTGCAAAAATAACATTCAAGTCATAAAGAGAGAAGGAAGTCCCTCTATGAAATAGGTAATTTTTTCAAATTAGCTGAATGGATCAGAAAATTATGGGAGAAATGACAAAGAATTTTTCTTGCATGAATTTCAGGGCTGGAAATATCTGTTTCTTGCAATTAAGTCTAATAAAAGTCAATTTTCCTAAAATGTATTGCCAATTTTATCATGCAATGTCCTCATGTTGAGTCAGTGTCCCTATGTTTGGCCTTTTTTATGATTTTTTTAAATTTAAAAATAAGTGTCCCTATTCCAATTGTCCCCATATGTTGAGGTGTCCGCAGGTGGGGTTCTCACTATATTTCTCAATTTGACACAGTATACAAATAACATTATGATTATGCCTGCTCATCTAGGGAAGTAAGCATTTATTCATCATGAGCAAAAATGACTTTTTCGAAATCCACTTGAATAATGCTTATTTATTTTTAATGCAATTTTCCGACTGATCTTTTTGTCTTGTATTGGCTTTGCTGTAATAAAGGCCCACTTTACCCAGAGAAAAGAACGTTCCAGATTAATAAAATATTTTCAAAACCCGATTGCTATTGATAGAGGGTTCGTCATTCTTTTATAAACAGGAATGTGATGTAAAAAGATTTGTTTCAAGAATATTGAACCTCTCATAAAATGTCAGCCTCGGTGTTAGCGAATCAATAAGTTAAAAATAAACTATCAAAATAAATGAATAAAATCTAGAAACCTTCGTGGATGACCATGTTGCACAAAAACAGCGTTGATTGTCTTGCTGACGTCATTTCTCATGGAAGCTGACGTCAGCAGATGACGTCAAGGAGGCCCTTCTGCTGCTGCTGCTCATTTCCTGCATACTGCCAAGGAATCCCTGATTTTGTGCAGATAATGAAATATGGCTAGATTGTTGTATTGTACTGTAAATACTTACTTCTAGAATGTAATAGAATATTGATGCAGAAAACCCATTGGAACCTGGAAAAGTCTGTGTCATAAACAAGACTAAAATAATTTTGCTGCCTCATTATAGAGACTTAATAAATAGCTATTTGTAAGCAAATCTGATAAAATTAGATTCATGGTAAGCAAGTATTTATTAACAGAAGATGCTTTGTAATTTGTTTCTTGTATGTCAAATTTACTTCATGATCCAAAACAATTTTGTTTTACAACTAAGCCATAGGAACCTGGAGAACTTAACCTTTGGGCTACAGAGGGTTTGTGGCCATCTTGCCGCAAAGTCGCAAATTTTTCTGGTGGACTGCACATTTCAATTTGACCAAAGGTCACTGAAATGCACCCAGGTTGGGAAAGCCTCAGTTGGGAAAAATTCTGGAAGGGTGAATCTTTCTGCATCCCAAAATCTCTGATGCTAGTCCAATGCAAGGAATTTCCTGTAAAAAGCCACCCAGTGAGGAATATTTTTTCTAAGGCAAAATTTTCTGCAGGATTATAAAAAAATATTGGACTTTTTTCTGACTTAGGCCTTGGTGAAAAAATCAAATTTTTAAATTTGTCAGCGCTCATGGGCACAAACTTAGCAAAATATCCTGAATTTCCTGTGCAAGGGTTAAATGGTGAAACATATGTGAGATTGAACCTCAAATAACAACAGGGCCATTGTACAGTGAGACCCCCACATGCGGACACCTTGACATGGGGACATTTATTTTTTCACAAAAAAATCATGAAAAAACCCAACATGAGGACACTGACTCAACCTGGGGACATTGCAGGCTAAAATTCCAAAAATTTTTCTTAAGAAAATCAATTTTTATAAGGCTTAATTGCAAGAAACAGATGTTTCCAACCTAAGATCTATATGCAAGAAAAATTCTTTGGTACTTTTCCCATCATTTTCCCATCCATTCAGCTAATTTAAAAAATGCCCTATAGCACAGAGGGACTTCCGTCTAGCTCTCTTTGTGACATGGATGTTATTTTTCCAGATGCCAACTTTTCAATTTACTGTACAGAGGAACACTATTCAATGTTCCAAATGTTCTTATTGGTTTGAAAAGATATTCATTGAATCAAATTCAAGTGGCAAGATTTTTTTCATGAAATTCTGAAGAATATTTCTTCCATAAAACACCAATTAAAAATTATACAACATAAGTCTATGGGAAAACAAGATTTGACTTGGGGACAATCTGACATAGGGACACTCTTGATACACCAATTATGGTCTCATCTGGGGGTCTCACTGTACTTCAAAAACCCAAGAAGATGATTAGTTACAATGAGATTTTATAGAGCAGTACTGTATATGAGATGAAGCACTTTTCACTTTGCAATACTAGGCCATGAAAATCAAATCATGTCCATATTTGATGAACTTTGAAGCAAGTCATAAACTTTAAGATGTTTCAAAATACTGTAGATTCTTCATGGCCCCATTTTCTCTCAACCTTGTGAAAAGAAATGACGCAGCCTCATGGTTCTGTGTGTTAATTGAGCTGCCCTCTCTGTAAGGCAAGCAGGCAAGATGGTGACGCAGATTGCTCCAGTTTTTTTTTGTGTGAAATGAAGCAGCAGCGCAGCAGGCATCAGGCAGCAGGTCCAACAGTTCAGGCATTGATTTTTCCTGGAGAGCATAATGTACAGAATACACTCTCCTATTCCTCCCACGCAGAACAAGTTTCTCTTATACTTTGTCCCCAATCAGGGCTGAGAAGCTGAAACAGGGTATCATAGGCTCCACCCTATTTTTCCAGAGAGATGCAGCGCAAGAATTCCAAGACTTGGGAGGCTGACACCCTGGTCACCTAGCCTAAAAAGTGATACAAGTGGTACCTCACAATTTGACCATCCTGCAAGTCAATGGTACCAACATTTTCAGGGTGGCTGATTTGCCATTTGGCCCTTGCCCTGCAATTCAACCTGCTTTGGCCACTTCTTCCCCATTTTTTGTATTGATATTTTTGAATTCCATGAAATTTCTTGCAATTTGTCTGTTTTGCAAAGCAGTCAAATTCATGTGGCAATGGATTAGGGTCAAATTTTGAGGTACCACCTGTATTCCTGCATTACTGTGATGGATGATGGAAGAAGCCCCCTTGTGGACAATACATTATTGGTTTGAAAATTAATGCCTTGCAGAAGTTTTGGTGCAAACTAAAAAGTGTGAAGCCTATCCAGCAAACTTCAAAATCTGATGTTCTAAGAATTTCTCCACAAAAGAATTGCCTCTAAATGTTTCTTTAACATGCACTTGCGAAGCCCAGAAACATTTAAGCTGGCTGGCTTAAAATATATTAACTTTTTTGGTCAGGTTTGACTGCAGACTTGGAGGTCAGGTCACCTAAATAAATGAAAGAATGATTTGGATTTTTTATTGGAATTATTTCCAAAGACCTTGTAGACAATTCAACTACAGCTCAGTTACTATAAGGAGCCTTTTTGCAGAAGATTTTATTATTCAGAGCCCCTGGTGAGATAAGGGTCTGTGATATAGCCCCTTACACCCACAAAGTTTGTGATTTACACAAATGATAGAAGTCCACAGAGGGCCTCATTTCATTGAATTTTGCAAATGCCAATTCTTGTCAACTCAAAAAATGCGACCCAACTATTATTTTTTTCTGGAGTCCTTTGGGCTGTTTAGAGCAAAGAATAAGCAAATTTAGAAAACAGCATCTTTTGTAAATGATAATGTGAAAATTCAGTATATTTAGTAGATGAAGAATGTGTTCCTAAGTTGGATTGTCCCTAAGTCAAGTCTTGTTTTCCCATGGACATACATTACATAATTTTTAATTAGTGTTTTATGGAAGAAATATTCTCCAGAATTCCATTGAAATTTTGTTTGCCACTTGAATTTGATTCAATGAATATCCTTTCAACCCAATAAGAAAATTTGGAGCATTGAATAGTGTACCTCTGTACACTACATTGAAATGTTGGCATCTGCAAAAATAACATTAAAGTCATAAAGAGAGAAGGAAGTCCCTCTATGAAATAGGTAATTTTTTCAAATTAGCTGAATGGATCAGAAAATGATGGGAGAAATGACAAAGAATTTTTCTTGCATGAATTTTAGGGCTGGAAATGTCTGTTTCTTGCAATCAAGCCTTATAAAACTCAATTTAAAAACATTTTTGGAAATTTCATCATGGAATGTCCTCATGTCAAGTCAGTGTCCATATGTCAGGCCTTTTGTATGCCCTTTTTTATCAAAAAATAAATGTCCTTATGTCAAATTGTTTGCATGTGGGGGTCTCACTTTATCTTGTTACTTGGATACATATTCATCTATCCACAATTTTTCTTTGATCCCTAATTACCCATCCTTTTAGTTGTCAGAACAATGCTCCTTGAGGACACCTGCGATTTGCGCGGGCACCCCACGCGCAGGGCAGCCCGTTCCAGAAGGCGGGCAATTCTCCCTCCCTCCCTCCCCTCCAGGAAGTCTCCGCCCATCAGCAACGCAGCTCCCCAGAGCCACGCCTTCCTCTGCTGCACACGAAAGGTTAGTAGGCGGGTCTTGTTCAGCCTTGTCCCGAGGATCCTCAGTCCTGCCTCCAGTCTCCAAGGAAGTCTCCGCCCATCAGCAACGCAGCTCCCCAGAGCCACGCCTTCCTCTGCTGCACACGAAAGGTTAGTAGGCGGGTCTTGTTCAGCCTTGTCCCGAGGATCCTCAGTCCTGCCTCCAGTCTCCGTTGTCCCGCAGCGGGCGTCGCTCAGTTCTCCTGTCTGTCACCTGATTCATCTCAAAATTTGAAAAAAAAATAGAGCCTTCTTTTTTCCGTAAGGAAAGTGCTACTCACCTTCTGTTTAATCTTCGTAATCCTGATCCTCCTTTAAGTTATCCCTTAACTTATTATCACTTCGGAGACGCATTTGAGCGACTTGAGGAAAACCACTGGTCGGGATGGCGGACGAGGACTTGACTTTGAAGGGCATCGGCCATCTTCTGTACACTGGTGAGTACAGATCTTTGAAGGTCTTATACTCTTTTAAATAACCCGAATCACCATCCAACTTGATACCGATGTTATAGATGTATACGGTATATCTACAAATTCTTAGCGACAGAAAAAAAAGTCCCGTCGCCATTGAAGGAAACCTTGACCCGAAACTAACGGATCAACATTATTTCTGGATTATTTTCCACGCAGTTACAGTAATGGCACTCAAAACTATGTCACATTCAAGCTAGATTTTATGTGCTTCGGTATGACCACCATTCGTCCATTGAAATATTGGAGTGTCTTGATTTAAAAGGGTTATTGAAAGTTTTTCCCATTTATGCGCGTTATTGAATTACTTATTGTGAACAGTCAGCCAAAAAATAATCGGATCAAGGACATTTTGAAGAAATGTAACCCAAAAGGGTTTGGAGCGCCATTTTTATGCACTGAGATTATCTGGAATGTTGGAAAAATTGAAGCTAATTTTTATTTTTCTTTAAGTGCATAAATGTTACCCCTTGAAGCTATAAAGTTAAAATGCGTCGAAGGTTTTCAAACACATTCTTTCGAATTCAGCTTCAGAAATCCCCATGGACTGAACAAATAAAATTAAAGGAATGTCCAGAGCTTTAGAAAATTAAAAGAAAAAATTATAAGAGTTTACGAAGAGTTTAATCCATTTTCATCTCTGTACCTTTCCCTAAAACCAAATTATTTCACTAACCGACTTTTTTGTTCTATACTTAAAAAGAAAACCTTTAGAAATCGATCCAAACTACCAAAAAAAAGTACTGTTCAATACCAAATGTAAGTGTTTTGTGGTCAGATTGGTTATTTATTAGATGGGTTTTCTAAAAATCTATCTTAGAAATATTGTACATCAATGAAGAGAAGAAAAGCAATTAAAAAAAGGCCTGAAGAATTTTTGGCAAGTTTATCAGCCATAATGTAGTTGAAAATGTTGTGACTTGAATAAAAATTAAATTAAATTGCTGTGTTTAAGTTATGAAAACACTTACTGTACATATTTATGATGGTATGGCAGTTGAAAAACTTACCTTATTTGGAAATGTGGCCAGAAATATACCAAAACTGCACTGTAACAAAAACTACAAAAAGCCGAAAAGCTAAATATGTTTCAAAAACATTTTAAACTCACATCTGTTAAAATTAAACATGATATCCATTTTCATGTGGAAAATGTGGGTTATCCTTGATATTTGATATCAAAAGCATGGGTTGGATTTCATTTATTTTTAAAATCCGACTGAACAAAAGAGGTGGATATTTTTGTACATATCAGGTTGAAAATATCAACGTCAATTTTTAAAAGAAAATTTTGAAGTGTTCATTCAGCTTGGATTTACATTTTTAAAAAATGTTTTCTTAATTTTCGAAGAAGTGTTCTTCTTCGCAAACCCGTCTAAATAAAACCTACAGGTCCCGTCGATCCCCCGTTTTTTTTTTTTTTTTTTCAAATAAACAAGTCGACGACGTGCGTGAAGGGTGATTGTTTGGAAACTGGAAAGTGTTGCAAATCCAGCCCCGGGTTTTAATCAGTGTCAAGACAGGAATGCAATTATGTCAGGCCCGCGTATGAGGAAAAAAAAAAATCAGCCCCTCTGCTGCACACGCGTCGCCATCTCCCCTATACAGCACATGCAACCCTCTGCCATATTCTTTTGCCTCTTTTTCTTCTTCTTTTCCGGTTTTTTCTATATACAGTGGCCCCCCGCCTAACAGACCTCCCGTGTAAGGGATTTTTGCCAAACAGACCAGCTCTGCAAGCAGTTTTTCCTCCCGCCCAACAGACAAAATCCGCCAAACAGACTTCTTTTGGTTTAAAATTAGTGTTGAAAATTGAAATTTTTAATTTTTTATGTAATTGAATTCGTGTAAAGGACTATTTGTCCAACAGACTTGTCCCTTGCACAAATCAAGTCTGTTAGACAGGGGTTGACTGTACCTTCCTTTTTATTTATTTCCACAGTCACCATTCAGTCCCAAAAAGTGGCCAAGGTGATGCATTGGAAAATAAATGGGCATTCATAAATTGGAAGTGTGCTGTATTTGTTTTATTTTGTGGAAGCAAATTCAGCCAGAATTTCATGGGATTCACATGTTGAAAATTAGTTTAAGAACTAAAGCAAAATTATTTTCCATAAAAAAACATGTTTTTGCATTTTTTTGTGATCACCTTCATCATTAAATCTTGCAAAAATATACAGTGGATCCCAATATTTAGAAATACCATACAGGTGGTACCTTGCAATTTAGCCCTAATCCATTGCCAAACTAGGGTCAAATTGCAAAACAGTCCAATTGTGCAAGACACTATAAAATCAAGGGCAAACTGCACAAAAACACTAGAAAAGGGGCTAAAACACAGGTTGGATTTTTGGAAAGAGGTTAAATTGCAAGTTGACTTTCAAGCAGGAGGTTGAATTGCAAGGTACCACCTGTACTTAATCTTAATGCTTCGACTGTGACTGTAGATTTTTTTAAAGCTGGAAGTACGTGTCCAGAAGCAAAGTAAAGTACAGTCAACCCCACTGTCTAATGGACTTAATTCATGCAATGGACAAGTCTGTCAGACAAAAAGTCCTTTAGACCAATTCAGTTATATAAAACAGTAAAACTTTCAATTGACAACGCTAATTTTAAACCAACAGAAGTCTGTTTGGCAGATTTTGTCTGTTGGGCAGGAGGAAAAACTGCCTGCAGAACTGGTCTGTTTGGCAAAAATTCCCTTACACAGGAGGTCTGTTAAGTGGGTGGCCACTGTATTGTATCTTCATGATGACTCATTGTATGAGAATGTTTTTGCAGAGCCATTAGGAGGGGGTATGGATGCGGGAGTCTTGGTTGTGCCTTGTGAATGCTGAAAAACGGCAAATAAAGTGTTCTGTTCATTCATTCATTCATTCATTCAGAACCATTATTACTGTGCTTTGTGACTACCCTTGGCAAAGTTATGTTGACCATAACAAATAAATGGTGAACAATTGAATACATTGCATGGTGATGATTATTATTCCCAAACAGACCTGCTGCCACTCAACAGGGATGGGACAGACATCAGCATGAAGTTCCTGGAGGCAGTGGTGAAGAAGACGTGTCTGCCCTTTGTGGCATCTGATTTTGACAGGACTCAAAAGGTGGTGGATTTTCACCAGCCTGATGAAATGCTGAACCTGGTGGACATGCACATCCCTGATGATCCCAGGGACCTGGATTCATTGCTGTATGACTGTCACCAGGCTCTGCACTACCAGGTCAAGACAGGTAACAATTTTCTTACATGCTCAACTGATACTTTTCCTTCTTTACTAATGGGTTCCCCTACTGAAAGAAACTTGCAAGCTTACAAACTTCATGTTTGTATAGTTCCTGAAATGGTGTTTCAATACTGATCCAGCAAGCAAACATTTGTTTCTTGTAAAAAAAAACTTACATTTTACGTGATGAAGGATTAAAATGAATTTATTTCAAGCTGAAAAGCAAACATCATGCTGGAACAAATGGTGTTTTTTTGTGCCAATCTGTTTTTACTTCACACAAATCCATCAGGTCTTACTCCAAATTGGAAAACAAGCTTTTTTCTACTTTTTTACCACTGGGTTTTATTTTATATCATTCCATTGGTGCTTTTCTGGGTACTTTCCTGTTATCTCTGTACCTCATTCCTAGACTGCACTACCATCCAGACAAATCCTTAGGATGACTTCATAATCAGAACAACCAACCAGAAACTGTGAATTTTATTTTTCCGCATTCTGCTGAGAAGCGGTTAGTTAAAGTTAGTTTAGGTCAGGTTATGTTAGTTACAAATATATTTTAACTAACATAACCTAGGACATTAAATGGTCTCTTTGTGATGGTTCTCGAAAAATTTATTCACTTTTGAAATTCATGTTGTTGGAATAATGTTTTTAAAATATTGATTTTTGAATCCTCTGCATTAATTAATAATTGGAAAAAAAAACTCCCAAGGAAAATTTCTTAGATCCAAAAACTGCATTAAAATGGGAAAAGGTAAAGTTTTTGAAAGTTTAAATAAAATTCTTGGAATTTTGAAGAAAAGCTATATAATTTTTATAGGGATTGCACTTGTTAAGAAAATTCAATTTTGATTCAAAAATATATTTTCAATGAAAATACCATTTTCCTGACTGAATTATAGTTGAACAGCTCTAAAATTAGTATCAAGGGATGCTGCCTTACCTCACACATTACACACTTGAACACACTTGATTATGTATCACAAATATGAGGCAATTTTCATCTTGAAAATAAAGTACAGTAAAAAAAAAAGAGAAATTGCCACTTGATCTACTCCTTTCCACCCAGTAACTTCCAATAAGCTGGAGATCTGAAAAATGTCCCCTCGCCGAGTTCAATTCATCTGCTTATACCCCGAGGCCTCCAAAAAGGACTTTTCCACCCATTAGCCCCGAACCCTATCAAACCCCGGGTCCACATATGACTTGATGCAAATATAAAAAAAAAAAAAACTAAAAATCCCCAGCAGCAGCAGCACTTGAACATAAACGATCCCGACCGGCTTATTGGATTATCCGCTAACTTGCAGCTCTAAAACCTAAACATCACAGAGAGAGAGAGAGAATAAATTTTGGCACACACACACACACACACATGCACACAAGAATGCAGGCAATGTTGTGAGGGGTCGGGGATTGAAGGCCACCCAGGCGAGATGATGCCAATACCCGGTATAGAGAAAAAAGTTTTGCCTCCCTCTTCTCCATCCTCCCCATCAATAATGACAAAGTGTGGGGGAATTTATTCCATTATATTACAGGGCACTGGGTTCCTGTTTGGGTTCAGCATCAGCGTTCCTCGCATCAATAGTTATTCGGAAAGAAAAGAAAATTAGTTGGACGCAAAATGGAAGAATAAATTCCTTGTGACTAAAACAAAAATTATCACCTGCTAAAACACTTGATTTTTTAGAAGTTCACGATGATCCGGAAAATGTGATTATATGGAAATAAAGGATGAAAGCTTGCTGATTTTTTTGAAAATTTTCTTTTGCTCATTTAGATGAGGAATATTCTACTTCTGATCTGTGTTGAGCTAGAGATATTTTCCATGCAGCTCGCAGCAATTTTTTTTCTCAAAAATTCGGGACTCTTTTTTTAATTATATTTTTAAAACCCATGGTTCCTTAGAACTTCCAGCTGAATCCATGGAATTTTTTCTAGGAAAATTCTGGGACTCTGAGATTTAAATTGGGTCCCATTTGAATCAACTTTCTGAAAAAAATTTGTTAAGATTATGAAAACAAATCCTGATGTTAAGAATTCTGGACAGAAAAAAAAGCATTTCAAATTTTGTAACTAATTCCAAGCATATATTGTATGGGCTTATTCTAGATTATTAAAAAAGGCAGTATTTTCAAATTATGTGATATGTTTCATTATTCAGTGAGAATAAGCACGAAGTAATTGGTCAGAATAGCTGAAGTTCTATGCATCATTTAACATATTTCACTTGCTCTCTGAGTTGAATATTTTCAAATTGCAAATAGGAACAATGGGTAATTGTTCAATAAAAATCAAGATGCGCATCTTACACAGTGACATATGAGCTGCTAGAATAAATACGCTAGCAAGAATCATGTAGAACAGAGTTCCCAACCTTTTTGGGCCCAGCACAGCAGACCAGCAAATTTCTGTAAAATGTTTTGCAGACTGGCAAATTTTCAAAAAATGTTTTGCTGACTGCCAAAGTTTTGTAAAATGTTTGCACACTCAAAAAAAATTTCCTTGAAATACTCTTTAGCAGATATTGAAAAAGTTTCTGCTGTTTTGAAAAAAAGTAAGTTGAGAACCAATGAAGCAGGTATAGTGGAATGTCTTCAAAGAATTAGGAAGGTGGGGTTGAACAATAATTTCTCAGAAGGAAGGATTAAAATAATTAATTTCATCAGTTGAAAATTTTCCTCAAGTTTTATAAGGAGAAAAACCAACTTTCATTTTTCATGAGATAATCTTAACTGAAATTGTCTTGAAAAAGTTTTTGGATTAAAGACACTGTAACATCCTTCATTGACAGTTTAGATAAATTTATCATGCTTGAGAAAATTTCCTGCAGACCTGCAAAAAATTTAGTGGACCAGCGCCAGTATGAGAACCTTGGGTTGGGGAACACTAATGCAGAAGACACTTGAGAGTCACAAGCATATGTTGCCTGTCTTCCAATGTACAATACAAAAATTTCAATTTTTCTGTGACCATACCGGCTGAATGTTGATTCAACAGGAAAAGAGAACCAGTATAAGGAAACATTTTACAAATATAAGACAGGCTAATGTTGGTATGCTGTTTAAAAAGTGTTGGGCATGCCACGCTGTTGTTAGAACTTTGTGAAGGTCTATAAATTAATTATTAATATAAGTTACTCCCAAGAAGAAGTTCAGTAGAATAAGAAGGTGTGTGTTAGCTTTTACTCAAAGTTGTTCACAAGCCTGAGCTTGTAAAGTGGTATTTTTACCCTTGTGTGAAATACATATTATTCCTCTTTCAATTCACAAGAATTCCCAGACTGTTTTATTTATAAACAACTCGACACCAACTTATATTGTGGCCAGTTGTGCCCAATATAAATCACATAAATTTAAATTTTTCTTCTTTCTCAGAAAGAGAGATGGGATGGAATTCCCAAACATTCAAGAATGCAGCCCCTCTCAAGGGGTTCCTCAAAATGAGCGCATCCATCTTAGAAACTACAACATCTGAAATAAAGGAGGGGGGGGGTGTAGTTTAGTGGCAGCTGCTTCAGAAAGAGCTCCCAAGTCCAGACATAAGAGGAAAGAACCTGGAACCCCTTTCGGACCCAGGGTTGCTTATTGAAAACCCGTCTGTCTCTAGTGTCGGAATCCGACCGTTTCCCCTTCCCTCATAAAGAAAAAGTAAATAAATAAACATTTCCTCTTCTCCTTCCTGCGAAATATGCCCCCACATTTTATTTTTGCAGACCTTATCCCACACTCGCAAGGGTCATGTATGAAAGTTGGGTGGGTGACATGAACACGCTCCATCAATCTCCTCACATATGTGTCAAATAACCTGAGGGCTTTTTTCAAATTTATGGAATTTTTTTTTAAAGCATAGCAAGTAGATTCAAACCTTGCAAGGTTGCATTAAATCCTGCAAAAATTTAATGAGCTATGAAGAATTTTTCTATTTCTGCTTGTATATAGGGAAATTGTTGTTCCTTTCATTTGTGAGAAGCTAAAAAAAAAAAAAAAACACACACACACGCACACATGAAAGAGTTCTTGCTCTTGTGTGGGGGTATTTTGCCGATAATCTGCTAGAGATTTTCCATCAAACTTGCTGCGGTTTTGTCCCACTACTGCTGGGGGGTTATTGAAAAAAAAAAAAAGTATCAGTGTGAGAGGGGGGGTTTTTTCTTGTGACAGAAATAGCCAAACTCGGGCAAAAGTTCCCCTCCTCTCCAAGAGTCACCCACACAAGCTGACGTTCTCTCCTCACTCTGCTTTTCCAATATGAGACTTTCCTTCCCCCCCCCCCCCTCATGCGAAAAAAAATATTCCTTTTTTGTTTCCTTCCAACCAAGTCTAACCCCTAGAAAAAAATGCAATTAAGGTTCGACCCCTGACTTGCGTATAAGGGAACACGTGCTGCCTTTTCATTCCCTGGCCCCCGGGCTTTGTTGCTTATTGTTTATGTTTCCTATTCGTGTATTTTGTTGCTAATGTTGAAGTTCGAGCTTCGATTCAAGTCGGGTTTGCTTTTCTTGGAGCAAAAAAAAAAAATAGAATAAAAAGGTGAATGAGTCTTGATTACGTTTTAAAAAACAAAATACAGTATACTGCTGTACAAGTTTCTTGTCCAATCCTTGTTTTCAATAACGTAATAGAAAAAAGTTTGCAAGTGAACTGAGAAAGACAAAAGATGGAAATTTTGGTGAGACATTTTTTTAGCCCCAAGATGAGGATACCATAGAAAAAAAATTAAAGCAGCTTTTAATAATTGCCCTGAATACATTTCATTTTCATTTTACTGGGAAAATGCTTCCCATCACTTTGTTGTTTAAAAAAAAATAAAAATCAGACAAGTTGATGAGTAAAAAGCAGAGCAAATCTTGATTTTTTTTGTCAACAAAAAGGCGCGCAGAACTGGGACAGGAAAAGTGAAGTGAACTAGCAAAATAATCATGATTTTTCTGTTTCCCATTCTGTCAAAAAATTCGTGGGAAATTCTAACAAAAATCTTTGACAGCTCTGAAATGTAATTTATTCCTAATTTAATGGAATATAGTCCAATCAGCTGTTTGACTGCTTTGGAATCATTGAATTTTTTTAAAGTTATTACTTTTAGGAAAAGGCTGTTTTTTGTAAGATTCACTTCAGTTGAGAGAAACTTCAGTCTGTTGGTGGTCATATAAGAAAGCAGGAAACTCTAAATAACTCAACATTCCAGATGAAATCTGAATAAATTGAAAGAATTTGCTGCAATCTGTTTCTCAAGATTGCCAAGAACAATGACTTTTCAAATCCATTGATTAAAGCAGTGTTCTCCAATCTGTGGTCTTCAGAGCAGTCCATGGAAGGTTCTGCCTGACTGTGGGAAATTTTCTCAAGCATAATAAATTTATCATAACTCATCAATGACGGATGTTACAGTATCTTTATTTGAAATTTTTGCAATGCAATTGCAGTTGAAAATATGTCATTAAAATTAAAGTTGGCTGTTCTCCTAATAAAACTTGAGACAAATTTTCACCTGATGGAATAAATTATTTTAATTTTTCATTCTGAGAAATTTCTGTTTAAGCCCACCTTTCTAATTTTTTGAGGACATTTCACTATATACCTGCTTCATTGGTTCTCAACCTACTTTTCTGAAAAAAGCAGGAACTTTTTCAATATCTGCCATAAAGTATTTCAGACAAAACATTTTTGATTGTGCAACAATTTTACAAAACTTTGCCAATCCACTGAAAATGTTTTGAAAATTTTCTGATCTGCAAAAAAATGTATGAAATTTGCCAGTATATACATTGGCACAAAAAGGTTGGAGAACACTTTTTTAAAGTGCAACATCAGTAATTAAAAACAAATTTTGTGGCTATGAGATTCCATAATGTGTCAATGATGCATCAAGCAGGCCATATCCATTATCCTGGGTATATTCATGTACATTTTTTTTCGTCCACCCTGTAAACAATGCATGTGAACCCCCCCCCCCCAAAGTCCTTTTTCTCTTGGAAACCTGCCATTTGCAAACCTCAGCACAGCAATTAATATGTATTTTAAAAAATAATCCCACCCCCCCTTTCCATGCAGTCTATTATCGAAATCAGGGTCCATTATCCGAATCGAGAATGGCTGTGGGTGTCCATTATAGCGAGGGGCTCTTTCCCCGTGTTACTCTGAGAACACACAGCTTTGTTATCACGTGAATCACCTTGGGCGAGTATGCCTCGATTCACTCTTCATCACACTCCAACGGGAAATTTCCGGAAGGAAGAAGGCACCGGAAGTTGTCGAAGCGACCACGTTTTAGGAGGAAATCGGAGGGAAGCAACATCTGCGTTTTCTTGATCCGCCTGCAAAAAGCAGGGTGGGATTAAGCCCGATAATAAGCGACCATCTAGACACACCATGTGCAACACACTAGACTAGACCAAAGGATGTATTAAAGGGCTCTCAAACCTTGCCAACCCCCATATATACCTACAGGGTGGGCCAAAAAAAGTGTTCAGACTTTTGACTTGAGATAACTTGGTAGCAAATTGACCAAGTGGGGAGCTATTTTTGCTGTGACCCCACAGTAGGTGCACACCAGGGTCACAACTGGAGCATATGGGATATTCTGGGGTTACAAGTGTGCACTCCTGTAGAGGAAATTTTGCTACCATTCCAGAGTTACACTTGGTGCGCAAATGTGAAATAACAGGAGCATCACACAAATGCATCAACTGTAAACTTGGTGTAACTTATTTGTTTACAAATGTGACCCTGAGTAATCCTGGCGTGAACACACAATTGGTGCACATTGCGGATAAGCATGTGCAACAGAAGAACTTTGGTACAGGTCAGTGCAGAGGAGGGGCACTGTGTAGAATTACAAACAAATCCCCAGTGTGCACCAATTTCCCCGCTTGGGGACCTGTGGCAATGAAAAAAGCATCAAATGAAAGTTTGTTCAATTCTTATTCAAATGGTATACAGTTTTATGCTTCCAAGTGCCGTAGAATGCCCACAAGAACCATTTGAACAAAACACAAAAAAGTTGTCAGGCATTTTTTTCCACTGAGCTGCTGTTCTGGAGAGCTGTTTGCATGAATAAAGGAAATTTAGGATGCCACAATTTACTCAAAAAACTTCATTCTTTCTTGGAGAGCCTGCACATGTTCCAAAAAAATTCAGAAGGAGGGGGTGAGAAGTTGTCTGACAACGTTTTTTTGGGGGAAAGTTTTTATTCAAATGGTTCTTGTGGCCATTCTGTGGCACTTGGAACTTAAAACTACATACCATTTGAAAGTATGGTATTTCAAGTTTGGTAGAAAATTGGGTTCACTTTTTTTGGGCCACCCTGTATGTTGTATAGAGATTTATCAATGGCAATAAGGTACACATGTGGTGGATGTGCCACATCTGAAAGGTGGTCTTACAGATTGTCTTGGTATATCAATAATGATCTGTCCTAGGTAATTGGAAAATATGTTAAGGCAAATACATGAGAAAACCTCCCAAATGTTTATTTTGACTAAAAAGCAATCATCATGCAGGTTAAACTGAGTGGAGAATCGCTATTCTCTCATCTTTGTATTCCTACATATTTTTTTCAGAAACAAAGCGACAACAAAAATCCATAAAAAGCTAGGGTGAATCCTTTGGAATATGATTTCCTCTTGGCCATTTTCTCTGAAATTAGCCGAGAACGTTGTCTACTCCATTTGCGGGATTTGGCAGAGCAGATAGACTTTCTCTCTCCCCCCCCCATTTGGTGGGTTCCACATTGATTTCCCCTCCGAATTTTGAGTGACGCTTATGCGTCTTATAGGCGTCCGCATTCATGCCCAGGGCTGGGCAAAAACCATCTGCTGCCTTCCCAGAGTTTGTAAATGTGACCCTGAGTAATCCTGGTGTGAACACACAATTGGTGCACATTGCGGATAAGCATGTGCAACAGAAGAACTTTGGTACAGGTCAGGCGCAGAGGAGGGGCACTGTGTAGAATTACAAACAAATCCCAAGTGTGCACCAATTTCCCCACTTGGGTGACCTGTGGCAATGAAAAAAGCATCAAATGAAAGTTTGTTCAATTCTTATTCGAATGGTATGCAGTTTTATGCTTCCAAGTGCTGTAGAATGCCCACAAGAACCATTTGAACAAAACACAAAAAAGTTGTCAGGCATTTTTTTTTCACTGAGCTGCTGTTCTGGAGAGCTGTTTGCATGAATAAAGGAAATTTAGGATGCAATAATTTACTAAAAAAAACTTCATTCTGTCTTGGAGAGCCTGCACATGTTCCCAAAATTCAGAAGGAGGGGGTGAGAAGTGGCCTGACAACTTTTTACGTAAGTTTTTATTCAAATGGTTCTTGTGGCCATTCTTTGGCACTTGGAACTTAAAACTACATATCATTTTAAAGAAAATTGAAGCTTTCATTTGGTGATTTTTTCATTGCCACAGCTTAATTTGCTACCATGCTATTTCAAGTAAAAAATTGGTTCACTTTTTTTGGGCCAGCCTGTATACTGTAGAGAGATTTGTCAATGACAATAAGGTACACATGTGGTGGATGTGCCACATCTGAAAGCTGGTCTGACATATTGTATATCAATTATGATCTGCCCTAGGTACTGTAATTGGAAAATTTGTTAAGGCAAATACAGGTGGACTCTATATTTATAAAGAAACTCAAGGGACCAGAAAAATATTTATTTTGAAGAGAATTTCTTTGTAGAAAAATCCTATAACATGAAGAGAAATGGAGATAGAGGAAAAAATAATCAAAAATTCTCTATACAGAAAAAAATTGTTGTAGATAAAATAATTGTAGAGAGAGTTCACCTGTGTACCATTTTCTATAGAAATCATGACATAGGCCTGTGATCTTTTAAGGTTCTGGAACATTTTTGAATTTTCTTACAGTTTTTCAATTAACTGCATGATAAGTGAAAACTTTCCAGTTACAGCCAGAGCTCTCCACATGTGTCACAGGTGGCAAAGTTTTTGTCAGGCCATCAGCTCAGAAATTGAATTTTGGGTTGCTTTACCCATAATATTTTCTAAATTTTAGATGTAAGGGTTGAAACAGCAACAAAATTCAATTTATTAAAAGTTGCCTGACAATATTTTACCATTCTGTGACATGGATGGAGAACTCTGGCTGTTACTGGAAAGTATGTCCTAATCATGCAGTAAATTTAAAAACTTTTTAAAATAAAAAAATTCAAGAAACCTTACAATAAGATGTCATGTCATGATTGATTTTTTTCTCACAATTAAAACTATACTAAAAAAATATCAGAGGTTGCGTCCAACTGGGACAACCCTCGCATGCAGCAGGTGAATTAGCTCTAGAAGGAAATGGTTCTTTTTTTTTTAAAGAAAGAATGCACTGAGAAAACCTCCCAAATGTTTATTTTGACTAAAAAGCAATCATCATGCAGGTTAAACTGAGTGGAGAATCACTATTCTCTTTCTGTATTCCCAGTTTCCCACACATTTTTTCCGAAGCAAAGCGACAACAAAAATCCATAAAAAGGGTGAATCCTTTGGAATATGATTTCCTCTTGGCCATTTTCTCCAAAATTAGCCGAGAACTTTGTCTACTCCATTTGCGGGATTTGGCAGAGCAGATAGACTTTCTCTCTCTCCCCCCATTTGGTGGGTTCCACATTGATTTCCCCTCCGAATTTTGAGTGACGCTTATGCGTCTTATAGGCGTCCGCATTCATGCCCAGGGCTGGGCAAAAACCATCTGCTGCCTTCCCAGAGTTTGTATCACATATGAACCCCCATCCCCTTTGCTATCCCAATGCATCTCAGAGTCTCTCACTAAAGTTCACTTGCAATGTATATAAGTCCAGCTGAGATGGATGTCCCTTTTGTTTGGTTCATCACAATAAAGATGAAACATTAAAACACCAAGGCTCAGAATCAAATTGCAGTTGAACTTCAAGTTGATAACCTCATTCATATATCAATTTTTTCAAGTTCTTGACTGAATCCTTTCAAAATAATGCATTAGAAAAGTTCCCTAGATTTATTTTTTCAAGAGAGAGTCAATTTGTATTTAAAATAAAAATTATACCCAGATCACCAAATGGCAATGAATTTTTGCAATCAGCAGTGGAACCCATCTAAGATGAATTTCAAGCAACCAGCAAAAAATATTGACTTGAGGAGGTTTTGATTTCTATATAGATATTTGACTTTCTTGGTCAAGCATTTTTATTGTGGGAAGCATTGAAGAATTGCACTAAATTGTACTTGGTGATATTCTGGGCCTTAAATGGCTTCTAAAATGAGTTGACAGGGTGCTGAACTTGGAGGGAATGGTTCATTTGAACAATTTAGTCTGTCACATCTTTTCAAAGCACATCAAATTCCACTTTGCTTTCATTTTTCAATAAAATCATAGGCAAAAGGCCTACAAAAATTTGACTTATGGAGGTTTTAGAGGAAAAGCTTTTGAGTTAGGGAGGTTTTTAATGCATTGCTTCTAAGAGAATTTAGACAGGGACTTTGAAAATTTGACTTAACCCTTGGACGGCAAAGGGTTCTTTCCCATTGCCGGCCAAAATTGGGTTATTTTTGTATGCTAAGGCGTTTTAATTTTTCTGAAGGTCAGAGAAGACCTTCCAGGTGGGCTGAGGCAAAATTGGGATTAATCCAAGAAAAGCCCATTGCTTAGCATAGCATTTTTTTCATTTTCCCACGACATTTTTCTGTGCAAAAAGAAAAAAACATCGGATTTTTCCCAAACTTTGTCCTCAAATCCCTGTTGTCCTTTTTTATTTTCTGCCCTGAGGTGCAACAAAATTTCGCGAAAATAGTCCGACTTTTCCACCCAAGGGTTAAGGAGGTATTTGACTTGGGGAGGTTTGACTTAGCGAGGTTCAACTGTAATAAAACATGTTTAAAAAGCTTTAAAAACTAGTCTCTCTCACTCTAGAAAGGAATATCTGCAGCTATGCTTATTGGTCTGGTGTTGCTAAATTTTCTTTGGTGCTCAATATTAGGTTGTGTTGAGTTTGAGTGGCGCTGAATTAATTAATTGGCGCATAGTCAAAGCAATGATGCTTTTACTTTTCCTTGGTGCTAAAATTATTGACGTCCAGTTTTTTCTTCTTCCTTTCTTGGCACCTATATAATGAAATGTCTGTTCAGTATGTGTGTACAGTCGCAATACACATCAGATGGACAGAAATCCCTGGCATAAATGGACAACAATGAGGCAGGCCCTGCAACAAGTGTCACACACACACGTGCTCAGCGTTTATCACACAGAAAAGGCCTCAGGGGCCGGGATTCAATTGTGGTCTCCCCCGAAATGGGGGATGAAGTGATTTCCTCTCAAACCCCCCCCCCCCCCCATCCAACCTCCCTGAAACACACAATTGCTCCATTTTCAATAGAGAGCCCATCATCCTGATGCACCTTCAGGTTTCACTTCTCTGTCTCTATATATGGCTTTTTTTTTCTTGACACACAGGAGGGTGTTGAGTGAATATTTGCTGATTGATATTTGCTCAAGCGATTTGAGAGATGCTGTCAGAGTCCTGATGCTTTCTGTTGAAATGAACAGTCACACCCCCATAGACCACATTACAATGGAATGTTCAGAATTGTTAGATTGTTTAGCTTTGGAATATGTCCTTATATTTCCATGCATTCTGTTTAACCTTCCTGAGCCAGATTTGAAGGGACTCTTGAAAATTTAATTTACTTTGAATTATGAATGAATGAATGAATGAACAGAACACTTTATTTGCCGCTTTTCAGCATTCACAAGGTACAATCAAGATTTCCACATCCAAACCCCCTCCCCACCCCACCCAAATCCCCTCAAAGACATTTAATCACTTCAAAGCAGGAAACAAAGCACAAATTGATGACGAAAATAAAAGAAAATGCAATCAAATAGTTCAAGTAACTTTGTGTTATCTGATTGATTTGAATGTGGGCCAGAACTATAATAATAGCATGAAAAATGAAACTTACAGTTCAAGTCAGGTACAATAAAATCTGCAATGCAAAACTTTTACATGAGGGAAACGTGACTCACACTTGTTTCAGTGTACCTTTGGGCAATATTTATTGCCAAATTGCTCATGTTTTGGTCACAACATCTGAATAAAAGAGAAAAAGTGGACCATGAATATTCATAAACATAGGCTAGAAATTTGACAGATTGAAGGAGGGACAGATGCTTAAAGGTGTCAAAAAGAAGCAATTCGGAGACATTTCTCCCAAAATAACTTTATTGAAATACAATATGTTGTACATAACTTTTCAAAGTCAAGTACAGCACTTTACTGGCAAAGCGTTTCTGTTTGTCTTGAATAAATTAATTGCGTAATTAAACTGAGCGCAAGGAAAATTACTGAGGCTTCAATTCATTGAGGTCTTCCAGTACTGAATTTACTGGGAAAACTGGTTATCCTGTCCTTTTTGACAAAAGCTACAGCTTCAGGAAGTGCATTGCTTTCAGTTTTAATTAATCACCAGTTTGTGGGACAGTGAAGTACTGTACTGTGCTTGAGTGTACTGGGTTACAATATCCTATGCAAGGCTATTTGCATTTTCGTTCATGCGTCGAGCTGGTGATGCAGAAATTTGTTCGTCCTCCGGAGCATCAGGAATATTTTTCTGCGCAAGTTTCCGTGGTTTGCATATCTCCTCTGGTGACGAGAGTGTGCGAAAATTCCCTGTAAGCTTTGAGTGTGATGCCGACTCACCTCGCTCCGATATATGCAGTAATTGTGATAAAATATCAATATTTGAAGGACTCTGCCCTGCTTTCCTGCCGGGAAGATGCACTTTCGTGTCTTTAATTTGTCTTCTCTGTCTGAGCTACATCGTTGAAGCCTCGTAGGACATGAAAAGAAAGTGAGAGAGAGAGAGAGATATCAATGCAACATGAGGATGAGTGATAGATAAATCTCGATCCAATTATGCAGTGTTCATCATGTACTCGGTTAATGGTTCTGACAGGTCAATTGGATGGACAGCTTTTTGCCTCTCGTCCTCGGAATTTTGTTTTTGGAATGACCGTGACGGCGATTGCATCCCCATCAAGTCCAATCTATGAATGATCATTATCCTGATGGTTCCTGAAAATACGTTCGTCCACTTAGTGACGTCTTTCTTGAACAACATGCCCAAATTATTAATTTGGGATTCAATTCTTGGGTTACGCAACGATTTTTTCCACTTTTGTGCCTCATTGACCAGCTGAGGTATGATGTACAGTATTTACTTGAGTACCATGCGCCCTTGAGTGAGATATGCCCTGGAGTTTTTCAGTTGACAGTTTTGATAAAATTGTGTCTCTGAATAAGATGCATACCACAATTTTTGTGCCTCTAAAGCCAAGAAATTAAAAAATAGGAACAAACACCCAAATTTGAATTCAGTCATGATTTGAACCGGAATTCAAGTAATTTTCAATTGTTGCCATTAACATATTTTTTTCTGTTGAACTTGATCCAAAATTCTCCGTTAGGATCAAGTACAGTGAGACCCCAAGATGAGGATTGAGGACATAATTGTTGCATCAAGAGTGTCCCCAAGTTGATATGTCTCTGAGTCAAGTCTCATTTTCCCTTAGACCTTCATTACATAATTTTATTGGCATCACATTTTTGTGTGGTCCCATAGGGGCTCTCTGCCATGACATTCTTCCTACAAGACATTTCTACTGGCCTCCTAAATTTGATTGTAGAGTCTGCCTGTAAACTTGTTCTTTATTGACTGAATTTGATTTGCTGTAATGCATGCATGACTTCACATTCTTGTGACATTACATGAGCTCCAAAAATGAAATGACATCCAGTTCGGACTACAGTTGGAAGACAGCCCATCCTAGTAACAGATTCAACTCCCACTAACACCTTAATCGGCCAATCAGTTTCTCCACCATTACATGCGGTATTCTGATAAGAGCATTACATGCGAAAAGCTGCTGCAGCGTATTTTGAGCATTCAATCATTTGTGAGGAGAAATTGAATTAGGAGAACAATTCTTTCTCTTGCATTGTCTCATGGAAATTTGCAACAAGACCCTGCAGTTGATCCTGTGTTTTATTCAATCCACCTTTCCCAGTTGTATAGACAAACATGATGGGCTATATCATCGCAATTATGCCTCCCACTGCATGCCATCAAGTCAAATGAGAGATCCAGATGATGGGATTCATCATCTGGATCTCACATACAGCAGAGTACTTTTCCTGTGCATTATATCCTATACTCTTTACATTCGGGTCTCCTCCCTGTCTCATTTGCATAAGTCATTTCCCCTATCTTGACGCATCTCATCATTTTTTCACACGCACACAGGGATTCCCACCTTTTTTTCTGCGTGTGTTGGATTGCAACACGTTCAAGGCATCCAAGCAGGATAAAATCAGCAGGTTTGAGCCTGACTGCCTCTCAAATAAATTCAGATCTATTTTGTTCCACCTGCCAGGTACCATGCAGAAAATACAGCGTATTTATTTGAGTTATACCATGCACACCATTTTCTAAAATTTCAGAGGGAAAAAAGATGTGAGCGCATCATAGGCAGATGTACAATTTTAAAAAGTTTTTTTAAAGTAAGATGTGCATTATACAGTGAGACCCCCACATGCAGACACCTTGACCTGCAGACAATTCGACATAGGGAAACTTACTTTATCATGAAAAATTAACAAAAAAGGCCCAACATGAGGACACTGACTCAACATAGGGACCTTTTTGTTATAAAATTGCAAATACATTTCAAAAGCCACCCAGCCTCATATTAGAACCAAAATTAAGGGGACAGAATCTAAACCATTAGATTTACAGTATATATACTGTATTTACATTTAGGTTGTTTATGAGAACAAAAATGTTGCTTAATGTCAGTGCTGATGATTATCCTTTTTAAATATTTTTAGTTTAGGATAATTAAGAATTTTCTATTTGTCCATGTAATCTGTATAGTTTATGTTCAACTGATATTCTGGTGAATTTCTATATGTTACATATTGGCTTTTTCATAACCTGATGTGTCCTTGAACTGTGCATGAATATGTCTTTAACATTTTTATTCATTTATAATATGAATTTCTATTTATTAATATTTATTAAAATGCCACAAACCTTCAAACTAAAATTACTTGACTATAGATAAAGCCACAAAGATTCTTTGCTTAGTAAAACTATGGGGAAAATACAGTACCTTTTATTTATTTCTTTTTTGTTGGAGATGAATGAGAAACAAAAGGGGTGGGGTTTGCTGGAATAAATTTGGGGTAACCCTGACTGCTGACATCATGGTGAGGTAGTCTGTGGGTGACAGGAGGATTGTTGTGCCACTTGCAGCCTGCTGCCATGACTGGTCAACCACAACAGCAGACAGAGACAGGAACAAACCTTGGAAGGGAGAGGGTTTCAGGAAGTCCCTGCACCAGAACATATATATATATATATATATATATATATATATATATATATTTATTTAGAAGAAGATATATAGACACTCATTTTTCATGTCCCTCCCCAGCAGCATCCAGAAGAACACTGAGATAGTGTCTGATGGTGACAGCTGGAATCCCAAATAGACCACATTCTTCAGGGGATCTGTTGGTGAAGCAACTGCTGATGCCATTTCTACAGCAGAAGTTGCTGAAGCCAGGATAAAATAAAGAAACATAGGCAAAAACAAAAGTTTTAAATATTTTGAATATTGCGTTTTTCAAAATCCATTCTTAAAATATCTGACATTTAGACTCCAATCTGATGAGACATGCTTTTGAACAATACTCAGGAGATCAAATGTTTTTTTATTATTGTTGAAGCACCCTTCATTTGAAATGTTTTTCTCAAAAATCCTTTTGTGGGTTAAAATGTAAATTTCTTCAAGTGGTAACTAATACGCTTTCTCTGCCAACAAATTTTTTTCTGCCCTAACTTGCATAAGAAATCATTTTAAATTTAAAAAATTTACACTAAGCCTTTTAGGTATGAAACCTTCAGCTAATGCCAAGAAAAGCAATGAAGCTAGGAATCTTCTGAAATTTTCCAAAAATTGTGTTCCAAAACAACCTGATGTAGATTTCACTCCAAAAAATGTTCATCAAATATTCTTTCATTCAATGAAGTCCTTTGTCAAGTTAAGAACACACTTCATGATAACTATCCCAAATGTCAAATTGATTTAATGTCAAATTGACATTTGTTTTAAGACTGAAAAACTTCAAACCATGAAGTGTGTTACAGTCAACATCTTGGCTTGTAAGCAAATGTAATATATTTTGGAAATTTCCTTTCCAAACAAGAAACTGCATTTTAGAACAAAGTAGGTTTTTTTGTCACAGGCAGAACTAGATTAAAGTTCTTATTGTAATTTAGTATGGTAAATTGAATGAAGGGAAATCATTTTCATTGTTTGTTTTTTTCAAGGAAATTCCAATCTTAACTACATAATGGTTTAGTCTGATAGATTTTCCATCTGGCTTCCTATTTGACAACCCGTCGCATGAATCATGCTGGAATGAAACCCCTGTTCCCATCCACCAAGAAATGAGGCGGGGGTGAAATAATTGCCACAGATTCCTTTGCAAGTGGGGCCACTGTTTGTGTGTGTGTGTGTGGGTAGTGTGGGGGGTTGGGGTTCAGAGAATGCCCATCTGGCATCATCCTATATAGAATACTCTCAGTTCCCCATTATCCATGCTTTTGAGGTGGGTCAGTGGCAGTACAACTGAAGGCAACCCAACTGGACACCTTCAGGGAAAACTCAACACCAACCCCACTGCGCTTCTCTGTATAGATAAGCTGAAATGGATTGACTTTGTAAAGGTGCAGTAGAATCTCATTATACAGTGACTCTTTTGTATAAAAAATTATTTTTGTTTTTCTTCATGAATGACTCAGTATCCTTGCAGAAAAAATCAAAATGCTATTTCAAGCTTATTATAACATTTTCTCCATTATAACATGCCTTTGTGCAATGGCAATTTCATTGCCATTTGATGCATTTTTGCAACCAAACAAAGCATTCAAAAAATGTCAGCTGTATTGAGATTTTGCTGCATTGAAGAGCATGAGAAAATTCCATCTTTCCACAGTGTACAGAAAATAGGGTGCTCAACTTTATTTTTGCAAGACTGGGATGAGATCCCTGAAAGATATACAGACCACATCTGGGGTCAGGTTTTCCTCTTATATAAAAAAATGTCATTATTATTGCTATGAATGTGTGCCTGTTTTTTTTTTTTTTAATTCTTTTGGTTGTAATCTTGCTTGTTTGGCATAAGTGTAAACACATAGGAAAATCAAATTTGCATAACAAACTTTTTAAATATCAGTAGACTATAGTCTGTTGCAAAAATTAAGGCTGTTGTGTGGGGCTTGACTGATGCATAGTAAGAGGAATGGATCTGAAGTTTTGTCAGTTAACTGAACTGAAGTTATTTTGATCTTTACTGGCTTATAATGAGATCTATTACTAAAATCTATAATGATTTAGTGGATTTAATAAACATTATTTCAAGTGTTGCCTTGACTTGGACCTCTTTTTTGCTCATCTCTTGACATTTTTGCCCATTTTAAGTTGTAACATGCTCATCATATTTTTGGTTATTGTTACCAAAAAAATACAGGTCAAATTCTGGTATTACTGCTGGGACTTATTGCGAGTTGATGAATAAATAATACCGTCCCTATGGTGTCCAGTAAGAGGAGACAGGAGGATTTTTCAAACGTCAAAATAGCTCAGATAATAATGGAGCTGACGCCGGATTGGATGGCGCTCACTTGGACTCGGCGCTCAATTGTCAGTTGTAGGGAAAAAAAAGGTTTCATCCTGTATGTATGTGTGTGTGTGTGTGTGTGTGGTTACTTCCGGCCAGCAGAGCAGGGATTTCCTCAGCTGGAAGAATTTATGGCGCTCAACTAATCGTGGCGGGACTTTGATCCAACTGGAAGCCCCAGCAAATAGATACTTCCGGCATGCCACAAAAAAAAAAAAACCTGCCAGTTGGTCAAGTGCTGTTGTTTTCCTGCTGATTTTGCTGTACGGGGTGTCTGCCAATAGCATCATTCAAGAAAAAAAGAAAAGAAAGCAGAATGACCAAAAAAATATTTAAAAATGCGCAGAAAAATCACAAAAATGTGGTGGGAAAACTATTTCGTGACGTTCCAGGCTTGATGATGACTTGAAAAAAATATAGACTGAAGTCTGAAAATTTGGATCTTCTAGATATAAGTGTGTGATGTTTTTCGTGTTATCCTTAAAGTCTTTTAAAACGGACAGCATAGTCGGTTTATTTTCCCATTTCGCTTCAAAGTTAAAAAAAGTTCTTATCTCTAAATGAATATTTTATAAATTTAGAATACTGTACAGAAATTTCCTCACTTATATTTGAAAACTTCAACTGATTGAAGGAGGACATTTTTAGAGATTTATTTGTTCTCTCTTTTATATTGCATTGTTGCAGACTCTTTCATAGGATACTTGAAAGTTTCACTATATTCAAATTATTATTTTTTTGTTGAGAAAAATACTGCTAACTCATAGTGAATTTTTAAACCACATACTCAAGACATTGAAAATTGCACAGATTGACAAACTGTCAAATTCAAAGAACATTTGAGGGAAATTAAGGTTGCATTAAATTACTGTATTGAAATAAGGCCAAATTTCACATGCTAAAATAACTTCCTCACTTGATTATTAAGAAGTACAACATATATATGTAGTAGAACAGTGTTCCCCAACCTGTGGTCTGCATGTGGACCAATGCTGGTCCACAAAAGATTTTTGCTGGTCAGCAGGAAATTTCCTTTAGAAATTCCCTTATGAATTCATCAAAAGTAGCAATTAAGTCTGTTACCTTCATCTTAAACTTTGGAAAAATAATCGCAGTTTAAATTATTTGATGAAAAATAAAAGTTGGATTTTCTCCTAATAACACTCCAGACAAATTTTCACCCACTGCTGATTTAGATTATTTAGATTTTTCATTCTGAGGAACCTTTCTTTGAGCCCATCTTTCTAATTTTTTTGAAGATATTTCAATGCAGCTGCTTCATTTGTTCTTGACTTAATTTTTGAAAAAAGCAGGAAATTTTTAAAGACTCTCATTATAAGTCTTTGAAGCAAAACTTGTTTGAGTCTGTAAAACTTTTATGAAACTTTGCCAGTCCATAGAAAATGTTTGGAAATTTTCAGACTCAAAAAGGTTGGGGGACACTGTAGTAGACAATGCAATAAACCAATAAGTATCCAGCTGTTTAAAATGTTTCTCACAAATGATTTCTAGCATGGCAGTGGATATTTAAAAGATAAAAATTCATGTCAGTATGCTGTTCAATAGGCTGAATCAAAAGTAAACTTCCACTTTAACTAGAATAAATTGCCAATTTGCAAACTAACACAAAATCTAATAGAACATGGCTACTGCTTAGAAATATTTCAAGTGATATGAACAAATTAGTATGTCTGCTGTAAAAACTTTAGAGGAAGAAAGACGCGATTCAAAATTGAAAACCGAAAATTTGCATGCGCAATTTATTTTCCCCCTTCTGTTAAAGGAGGAATTTTTTTTAAAGGAACCCTGTAACAAGGGGAGAAGATGGGCAATTCGCTGGCTAATCTGTGCAGGATTAAAACACCGTTAGTTACTCCAGGGGTCGCATCTAACCCCCAATAGTATTCATTTGCCTGGAAAACCCCCCGGGGTTTTGCCCCGTCCTGGCAAATCGATGATATGCCATAGTCCCGCGGCTTCGGACAAAAGCGTGATTCTTCTTTCTTTCAAGCCATTGTTTATTTTCTAGGGCCCTATTGCCTTTTGTTTTTAGCAAAAAAATATAATATTTACATTGAAAACAAAGATGATGAAGTAGGAGGCAATTGAGCGATAAAAGACTGCCAAAAATGGAAATTAAATGAGCACGTCTCATCCTGATTTGGACTTGAAAAAATGTTTAAAGGATTCAAATTCTAAAACCGCGAAAAAACGAGAATCCTTGTCAAAAAGCTGGCGAATGTCCTTCCAACAACAACAAAAAGAATTCCGTGGAATTTCATTGACCAAATTCAGATCCTATTTTTTTGTTCTAAATTCATAACCGCATTTTCCTACGCAAAAAAAATAGTAAATTGATGCAAAAAACACAGTTCGCCTTTCTTCAAAATTGCTACGACATTTACTGGTAAGAAATCGCTGTTGGGATTTTCATCTTCATTTTTTCTCTCGACATTTGATTCATTTCGACGATTTATGCAAAAATTGCGGGCAATTTCCGAGCAAGTGAGGAGGGTGTAGTTTTGCAGAGATTTCAGCTGGCAATATTCGTGGGGGGGAATCCATTTTCTTCCTTGGCAGCAGTTGAAACCCGGGGAATTGATAAAGCTGGAAATGCCCCAGGGGCATTTTATCTCGACGCGCCATATTTCAAAACCCCTCTGGACGAGTTTGGGTTCCTTCGGGAATTTCACTTGGAAAGTCCCCGGGTCCCGGTACAAATTTAATAGCAGTGGAAAGGCCCCTGCTCGTGTTGATAACATTTTTTTTTCCCTGTATGTGGGAGGGTTAAAATTTGGAGTTGGGGTGTTGCATTTTCGTTTCATTTCAACTGAGAAAAAAAAATTCAAAGTGTTGAAAAGAAAAAAATTACATGAAAACAATTTGAATCAAAAAATCTGACCTTCTTCTAGAGTTTATTCTTCAATTCAACCCGCCTCCAAGAAAATAAATGATTTCTTTTCCACTGTGCAACTGAGCTTGGGTTCCTTTTTGCACACAAGCAAATTTTGGTTTGATCAAAAGTCACAGAAACTGCAACTGAGAAAAGTGGCCTGAGTAGAAAATTCAGATAAATGCATCAAGAAAAATTTCAAGTCACTTTAAGACCACCTGATGGCAGAAAGTAAAACTTTTAAATAAAATAAACACTATATTCTTGGACTTCAGCAACATTTGCCAGATTTCCTTTTTCAAATTTTTTGGCTCTTGGCAGGATGATTTTGAAAGGCTGCTTATTCTAGCTATACAGTATTGTACAGGAATTCAAAAACAAAAATTATGTATTATTTTCTGTCTGATGTAATGCAATATTTTTTTGGAAATGTGTTAACCTAGAAACATTAACACTTGCTGCAAGAATTTTTCCCCTTATACAAATTGCCTTCTTCCACTTCAAGAAGAAAGATGCTGCCCCCCCCCCTGCAGCTGTTTCCTTGTTTTTATCCTTTATGTTCATTTCACCTGCATTAGTACTTGTGACACTTTTATTGTCACTCCCAACAGTGATTTATGATGTGCACAACGCTTTCTTTTTATATGGGAAAATTCAAGAGGAAATATCTCTTGAATGAATACTGTGTATATAGAAATAATTGTGACAAATATATGTTCGTTAACCATGCATGTATTCATGAGACTTGGAACTCATGAAAATATAAGGGATATCTTGGTTGCCCTCATTGATTCCTCCAAGCCTGTATATATATTTTTTTTCTTCCTTTCAAAACTCTGCATTTGTAATTATAGCTGTCCAAGCATATGTCTGAAATATGTTGTCTATGTGCAGTGCCCCCCCCCCCACCTAACAGACCTCCTGTCGGGTCGCACCAGGGCTACTTTGTAGCCCCTTGTAGTGTATTTGTGGAGGATTCTAAAAACCGGGGCCTGGCACCAAGAAGTACAAAAAGGCAGGATGGAAGCTCCTGCTACCTTCCGCCAAATTTTCACCTGCTGCAAAAACTGGTTATGAAAGTTGTTCAGGTCAGAGTTGTAGAGGAAGCCAGTGGTGCCCAGTAATGGTCACTCTCTGACTTCATCTGATGAAAGAAGCATCTCCCTAGGAGTTCCTAGTTGCGTTAATTGTTATTCTGATTTGGTTCCTGATCTGTTGTGTTTGTGATTATTCTTTGAAGTGTTTGTATTATTTGCCTGACTGTTGTTGGAGCATTGAGAGTAAAACCTGAACTGTTCTTGGGACTCCTGTCAGGAGGATCTGGTCTTGTAAAGGCTGATTGCCCAGTTGATTTATTTCATAAGATCTTTGTGTTTCCGGCACCACACCTCCTGCATAAAGGATTTTTGCTTAACAGACCAGCTCTGCAGACAGTTTTTCTTCCTGCCCAACAGACAAAATGTGCTAAACAGACTTCTCTTGGTTTAAAATTGGTGTGGACAATTAAAATTTTTAATTTTGTACATAATTGATTTTGTCTAAAGGAATTTTTGTCCGACAGACTTGTCCATTGCACAAATTAAGTCCATTAGACAAGGTTTCACTGTACAGTATTTGTTTTGTACAAAGTTGTATACTGTACTTCATTTGGATAATTGTACTGTACAACAAAATAAACAGACTTCAACTCATTTTTGATAAACCAAAACGAAGATTTTCTGACTCTGATTACTGAAAAAAGGCTCTGATAGCCCTTTTATTCTTCTTGGGTTTTCTGAAAGAAAAAAAATCTGTGGACTGACTTGAATCTAAGGCGACAGGACAGGGTAAAATAAGGGGGGTAACATATCCTGCATATAGTATGGAAAGCTGTGAAGTGAGCAAGCAGGAGGAATGATTAATGCCGGGGTTGAAAAATTTGCGAGAAGCGACTCCACAAAAAAAAAAAAAAACCCCCCGACAGCAGTCGAGTGGGTCTCGCTTTTATTCCCGACGGTGAGGAGGGTGGGTCGACAGTCAGTCGACACTTTTTGTACCCCTCTGGAAAGAAAGAAAAAAAAGAAAACGATCCCTCGGGAACATGTCGACAGCGACGACGACGACNCGACAGAAATTTGCGCCTGCTGCTGCCAAAGTGGCTGTTGAAAACCGAGTATCATCCGTCTGCTGTAGGACGCTAATTTTATCCGCCCCATCCCCCCCCCTCCCCTACCTCCCCTTGAATGAGGAAACTATAGGGAATCCAAAACTTATTTCAGCTTTTTACCTTTTTTTGAGAACAAAAATATTGGCCACAAAATATTGTTCCAAGACAGGCCTTTGGGTTCAGGAAAAGAAATTTGCTACAGTACCATTAAAAATAGTTTTTCAAGGTTCAAATGGCATTGTTTTGTCCCACTGAGGTCAAGTACTATATTTACTCAAGCACCATATGCCCTTGAGTAAGGCACGCACAGGGGTTTTCCAGTTGAAAATTTGGCTAAAATCTTATCCCTGAGTAAGACGCACACCCCAATTTTTAGTGAATCTGAAACCACAAAATTTCAAAAATAAATACTAAAAATTGACTTTAGACATGAATTGAACAAAAATCTGATCAATTTTCAACTGTTTCAGTGCAAAAAAAGTGTTCTTGTTACATTTTTTTCCAAATGTCTCCATTATAATTAAGTATAATGCACACATAAATTCCTAAATCTTCTTCAAAATTTTGTGCCTGCTTATGATGCGCACCCCTTTATTTCTTCTGAAATTTGAGAAAAAAGGTGTGCGTGGTACTTGAGGAAATATGGTATTCCAAATTACTTCACTTTAAATGAAAGCATGAACTTTAAAATATACTGTATACTAACTTTCAAAATAGATTTTAAGCCAGATTTTTCATCTGTTGAAAATCATTGGGAAAAGAGGATTTGACAGCTGTTTTGACTGAAATTTGTCAAGTTTACAAACCAATTCTTGCTCAGACTTGATAATCAAGTGAAGGCGTCTCTTTTTACACCAAGCAATATTTCTATAGGCTAAATATTTCGCTCATGGCAGTATTTCCGCATTATTAAAATAACTCAGAAAAATAAAATCATGCTGAATGCTACCATGAATGAGCATCGTTGGAACTTTGTGAAATGCCCACAGGAAAACCTATATTGAGAAGCTGCCGCTGTCAAATTGCGCTTAAAATTCTGTGTAAAAAGTGCTAAAGTCTGAGAAACATCTTTTCTTGGACGAAATGAAAAATAAATTTTTTTTTTTACAGATTTTCTATAGATAAGAAATACTTTTAATGTTCTCAAGTCAAATAATCTAGCTTTAAATACTGCTTCTTTTTAAACTAAATCGCCAATGGAATCTCATTAACACATGGAACCATTTTTTAATTTCCAGAGATAGGACCAAATAAATTTTTTTAATTAATAAGCCCCACTGGAGAAGAGACAAAAAGGAAGGTAATTTACCAGCATGTGATGCATCTTGTGATGTGGTTGAATACCCTTGATAGCAACAACAACAAACGGAGAAAAGAGAGAGTGAGAAAAAAAAAGTAGGAGCGTAATAATTTCACCAGTGTCCCAGAAAGCGCAAGAATGAGTGGGGCATCGGGGCACACGTCGGGTATCGATTCCTGGCAGCAGCTTGGATGATGGATGACACGCCTGCAGCAGACGGGCTGCTGCAGCTGGAGGAAACGACAAAGCCCAAGTTGGGTCAGTGGCAGAGCCATGTGTCACAACTCAGCCAGAGCATGAAATTGAAACGCCAGGCCCTTGATCCCTCAGCTCTGTCCTGATCCCTGCACAGTGATCCAAAATGTCCTCCTCCTTTCCTGCCATCATCAGACAGAGCCAGAAATCCCCGGCTCATACTTCCTCTTTCCATCAAGGACAAAATATACCCTACGTTAGTCCTATATACACAAATATATATACTGTATATATATAACTGTGCACCCCTTGAAAAAAAAAGGAAGAACCCCTGCGTGTGAAACAAAGACTGGAATGGTTATGGGGGATCGAAGACGGATCCTGCATCAAGTTCTAGATCCCATATAAAAGACAAAGAAAGGATCAATACACGACAAAATTTACCCGGAAGAAAATTCGATCCCTGGTTTCCGAGGGTGAGAGAGGAAAAGGTTCGGGTATAGATGAGAGACCCTGTCCCGTATTATTTCGTGATCTATGGGCCAATGATAGGGAATAAGAACCCAAGAAGTCTTTGGCAAATAGCCCATAATAAGCCACTTTTCCTCGGATGAGTTGGTTTTTTTTTTCCTGCCCATATATAGCACACAGATGGCGAGACCCAATTAATTCCTTTGGAACTTGGCCAGGGGGGAAATAATTTTCCTTTTTTTATTTTGGGTGCATATGTGTGTGTGTGTGTGTGTGTGTGCGCCAAGTGTGAGGGGGAATTATTTTCCCATTGTTTTTGCATTTGCAGAGACAATATTTCCATTTATGTATAATCATGTATGGCTTTCAACATATTTTTTTATTACAATGATGAATACAGGAGAAATCTCCTTACAGCAAAAGTTCTTGAACAACATGGTACCTCGCAATTTGACCATCCAGCAATTCAATGGTAAAATTTTCAGGGAGGATGACTTGCAATTTGACCTCTGCCCTGGAATTTGACTTGCTTTGCTTTGCCACTTTTTCTGCATTTTTGTGTAGATATTTCTCAATTTTATGAATTGTCTTCCAATTTGGCTGCTTTGCAATTTGGCACTAGTCTGGCAATGGATTAGGGTTGAATTTCAAGGTACCATATGTATTTAAAAATACTGAATAATACAAATTTTGTGGCTAAACATCAAAATTTTTAATTGAAAAAGTAATTTTAGCTTATTAGACTTTTGTAGCTAAATATCAAAATTTCTAATTTTGAAAAGAGAATTTGGAGGTTCATTGCTTGAATTTTTAGTCTCTTAATGAATGAACCCAAGCATTTTCAGACAAAATAAGTTTCCCAAACAAACAAACAAAATTAATCACAGCACAAGTAACAAAAATAGCGAAATAAAAATATCTAAAAACACCAAATGGAACCGATAGAAAAGGGGGTTCTACTCAATTTGGGAGGTTTTTTGTAGGGAGATCCAACAGTACAAAAATATATTTCCTAGCTTTGATTCCTCCAAAATGCTTTTTGAAAAAATTTCTACATTTTCTCAAAATGTTTTCATCAGAAAATTCATTTCTTGTGCCAAATTATTAAAATGATGTGTCAAAAAATTATGAAATTGTACTTGCAGTGTTTCTGTTGTGGCTTTTATAAAAAAATTTCATAATGCAATTGATAATTGGCTTTACTTGACTTTCACCTGTTTAGTACATTTATTTTTTTCATGATAAACATTTGTGTTTAAAATAAAAATTGCCAGAACAAAAATGCAGCATTTGGCTGAAATTAATACGAATTGCGAAGATGGTTAAAGTATTTCGCAAGATTTGGAAGACACATTTTCAATATTTTAAACATTCAAAAAGATACGTACCTGATACTTCAGAAATATAGATAAATTGGCATAATAAATCAGCAAGTGCGAGCGAACTAATTTCCCCCCCCCCCCCAGCAAAAATGTCAGAAACGCTGGAATTATATTTCTAAAACCAGAAACATTTATTATATTCAAGCCCAGAATATTCCCCCCTGTCTCAATTTATTTTTGTGTTTGTTGTTGACGCGTCAGGGTTGTGCATAATTTCATCACATAAATATGCATGATATACACGGTTCTCGTGATGCTTCACCAATAAGTCACAGAGAAAAAAAAAAACAGGTCCAGCAAAAATGTGGGTTCTGGCTTGAGAATGAAAGAGGCGCTTTCATTATTCTTCCTTTATTTTTGATTCCACTCACTGCAGACAAGAGGTTCATCAAATCAACGCCTGTTTATTCAGTCCACGTGGAACCTGTAAAGGAGAAGAAGGAGGAAAATACGAGGGGTGAATCAAAAGTTGCGTCAGTTCCTTGAAATTGAGTTATTTCTGTATATGCACAGTTTCTGAGCCAGGTTCCTCAAAAAGCATTGGAGTCAAAAAAAAATTATGATCAAAAAAGAACCTTTTTTTAATTTTTTTGTGCATTTTATTGTTAGATTGACTTATTGGGTACACTTTCACGCTCACAAACAAACATTTTTTGATCATTCATAATTTGAAGAATTTAAAAATCTGACATTTTATTGGACCTCAGTGGTTTTATCTCTTTCATACATTGGCAAGAAAAAAAATGGTTTTATGACAGACAAATATTGGATACAGTTGTGTGGGGACTTGAAAAAAGCATTTAAAATAAGAATTTCAAAATTGAGATTCAATGGATGTTTACTTTCTTAATTTAGAGTTTAAACTATGGCTGTATGTTTGGATAAGTTCTCAAATAAAGCAGAAAAATTTTCCTTTGGAAAGGAGTGCCTCATTCACATTTTAGAGAGTTTTAAAATTGAATTCTTCACTTTTCAAAGCATAATTATAGCAAAAATTTTCAATATTGTGCCAGTAGTGGGGTTTGAAAAAGTTTGAAATTTTATCATTGACTTTTTCTGGTAAGAATGATTGAAATTTGGAGCAGTGTCTGCATATTTGGGATATTTTTTTTTTGAAAATTTTTTTCAATATAAATTATAATTTTGGGAATGGTTTGTTTTGTATAGTTTTACTGCTTACTCCTTTGTTTTATTCGGATTTGTCAATGCTGACCCTGTCACGACTTTGGAAAGAGATTTTAATCATGATAAATTAGTTTTTGGCTGTATTACTTCAAATGGAGTTTATAATTTTATTTGAAATAATATTTTATTTATTCAATATTAATTATTGCATGCTACATTACGGTACATCAACCTCATTTATCCACCAAGACTGTTTGGACAAACGAGACTGCTTAAACTTATGAATGAACCCTTCTTATGAGAGACCAGGGGAGGAAATGGAATTACCGCGTCTCATCAGAACCCGGACCCTTCTGGCACATGGGTCTTGGGCCGCTATTCATTCCGCGAGAAGGAAGGCGTTATTAATGCACAATGAAAGGAGCCGAAGGCCGGAAAAACGTTTTCACTTCTCACTTTCTTTCTTTTGAAATTCTCTGCTTTTTTTTACATACCTTCCCCCACTTTCCTCATACTGTCTTGGCAGTGTTTATTTTTATTATTACAAGCAGTTGAATAAACATAAGTTTCAGGCTGTGGTGTGAAATGCCACCTCATTTTGCCGAGAGATAATTTTACAGAGCAAAAATTCTTTCATAGGTCTCAAGGAAACTTATTGTAAAATATTTCCCAACATTCAAATGAATAATTTACAAAATGCACATGTGTTAGGTCCAAGACCCAACAACAGGAGAAGCTTTGCCATTTTTCAGCCAAGAATATGCCTGCAAGGTGACACTTGAAATGTACATTTCTAGTTCTGCCAAATGACTTATTAAAGCTGAAGAAAGCCAAAGAATGCATCACGCAATGAATATAAAACAATTTGTTTGCCACATCAGCAGCCAGAATATATCCAATGAATCAAGGAGGTTCAACATGTGATATAACCTCAATAATTAATAGCACCACCCTTTGATAATAATAGGTTTGATTTGAATCTTGAAAAAATTCTTCAACCAGCTTTAATAGAAAATTAATTACATAAAGTTTGCAATATTACAGGTATCAGTTTATCAATGAAATTGCTGTATATATGCGCGGGTCAAATTTCCAAGTACAGGTACCATCAACATTAACAGTGTTTGTAATTTAAAAATGAAATTATCTTTGCTGAAATCCAGCTACAGAGATTGGCACGCGTCAGTATATATATACACACCCTCACTTGCAGAAGCATTATTTGGCCCTGCCTGAAGTTTGCTTCCCGCTTGTGCCAATTTCGCGCCGCATCTGCATAAATTTTACAGCCTTTCAAAACCGCGGTTGAGTTTCTGAAACTTTGTTTGANCCTCTACAGTAAAAATAATGAGGCACAAAAAATATCTCTCCCTTACTTGACTATTATGGTATACTGTATATAGACATTCCATAATGCAGTGTGTATATCATGTCCATTTATTCTGTCTCCAATTCCCAGGGCCAGTTTATATTTATTTATCTTTTAAAAATGAGGGGATTTATACCTTCTTTGGGTTTTTGAAAAAGTCCATTGCAAATTCCTGAAAAATCATCTGTGAATACAATGAGATCATTTCCTGAAATCATGCTTCAGAAAATGTCAGCATATTTTTTTCAAGTGATGTCTTGGAGAATAAAAATACTGATGTACAGTACTTACAAAAATATCCAAATGCAAATTTTTAAGCAGATATTATTGCTGCTGGTTTCATGCAAAATTTTTTACTTTTCCTGAATCAGAGAATCTCAATTTGAACCCATGGAGACTGATGATTCAAATTTTAAAGTTTTAAAGTTTGGAAAACTATCAATTTTCAATAAGAGAAAACGTTTGAAAAACTACAAGAAAGTAAAAGTTGTTATCTTCTGAGCATCAAATTTCTGAGAAATTGAGGTTTCAAAATGTTAAAATTGGAAGCAAGGGTAAAATTTTGCAATTATCCACTCACTTCCATCTGAAAAATCTCAAGTTACATTTGTTGCTCATTCTTTCCTTGGTTTCCAGAATAATAGCCCAACAGTTCAATATAAATTTTGGTTATATAGAAGTTTGAGAATGAGCATTTTGGAGTTCAAGAGATCAATATCAGTGGTGCCCAACACATGGTCAGCAGACCAGCAATAAATTTATCAAAACTATCAATGAAGGATGTTACAGTATCTTCATCTGAAAATTTTGAAAGGCAATTGCAGCTAAAATTATCTCACAAACAAGCAAAATTTGGCTTTCCTCCTATAGGAGAAAGTAACAAATGTAACAAACGTAACAGTTTTTTTGTTTTAAAACACGTATCTAACGCGTTTCAGTATTGTAATGAATCCTATCCCAGAAGACAAAAAAAAATTAGCTGTAACTAGAAGGCGTTTCAAAATGCCCATAAGATATGCATTAAATAAAATCCCAAGTAGGCGTAACATAGAGAGGTACAAAACGCGTAGCATTTTTGGATAGAAATGCTTTTAAAACGCGTTTCAAAATGCCCAAATTATTTGCGGGGTAGTAACACTTCAGACAAACTTTCACCTGATGATATACATTATTTGAATTTTTTATTCTGAGAAATTTTCATTCAAGCCCACCTTTCTAATTCTTTGAAGACATTCTGTCATATCTGCTTCATCAGTTTGCAACTTGATTTTTTTTGTAAAAAGGCAGAAACTTATTTTTAAATACTTGCCATAAAGTATTTCAGGCAAAACTTTTTTAAGTGTGCAAAAATTTTACAAAACATTGCCAGTCTGCAGAACATTTTTTGAAAATTTGCCAGTCCTCAAAAATTTCATGGAAATGTTGCCAGTCTGCAATAAGCCCAAAAAGGTTGGGTAACACTGGTTTATATTATATTGTTCAAATACATAAATTCAGACTGGGACAAAAAATGCAGATTTTTGAATTCTACTCAGTTTGACAAGATCTCCACAAAATGTATGTTCCCTTTGTCAGGTGATCCCCCTTTCTTTTCCAAAAATAATTTTCGAGAAGAAATGATGGAACTTGCAGAAATGCCAAGCAGTATATGGAATTTAGTATGAACCAGGGTCAGTGTTGGTTGCATCCAACTATGCTAGAATGGTCAGTGAGAAATGGTCTGAATAAACGGTGAGCATGAAGGCAGAAAAAAGAATGACTCCCTCTTTTTATCTAGGCCATAAATTGCCTTCATATCGACAGGTTCTGGGTTGCTCAACAGGGAAAGTTGCCCTGGGGAATTGGAGACAGAATAAATGGACATGATATACACACTGCATTATGGAATGTCTATATACAGTATACCATAATAGTCAAGTAAGGGAGAGATATTTTTTGTGCCTCATTATTTTTACTGTAGAGGGTAAACGTGTGAAAAATGATTATGCATGTGCTGTGCTTATATGCCTAAATTACATTTCCGAATTACTCAACATGTAGATAACAAAAACAGATGCAAAAGTATTTTATTTCTGCTCTCAGCAAGGGATTAGGCACAGCTGGAGATACTGTGTATGAATGATGAACAGTAATAATAATTTGTTTAGTGAATATTTGTATTCATAAATCTACTCAAAGGAATAAGCCTAATTCCCTGATCCAAATAGTCAAAAGCTCTCCAAGTTCAAAATTCTGGAGTACCTATGAATTCAACTTAGAGAAGCTCAGGTCATCTATTGCACAATTTTGGTCTGGAAAATTTGACACAAGGACATCAACCTGAACATGAAATGTCATTGATTAATTGGGAGGCACATGCCTTGATTAGTCATCAATTAAAACTGAACAGGAAAATTACAGTTGGAACTTTTCAAGTTATTCAAAGGGGCCAGTAAATACATTTAACCTATGGAGTTTCTGAGTTAATGAGGCCACCCTTTTCTCTTAAATGAAAAAGAAGAATTAATGGAAGTTGAAATTATTGATATGTTTGGTGCAAAACTGCTTTGTAAACTAGCTGAAAGGATGCTGAACTTGGGGATAAAGATTCATTTGTCCTATTAATCTTTCACTCACTTGAAAAAAGAGCATCAAGTTTTAATTTTATTCCTCATGTATCCTTCATGGAATCAGGGGTCACAACAATGAAAGCCAAAATGACTGGAAAATTCTAGGTATACAGACTTGAGGAGGAAAGCATTTGAGTTATGGAAGTTTTTAATTCATTTTCTTTCAAGGGAGAGGGGCTTGAAAAAAGTTGTACACAGGAAAATATTCAACTTAGTTTTAACTGTATCTTGTAGACTCTTTGTGTAACTTTTGATTGTAAAAGTGTGCATCATCTTATGACCTTTTCTTCATGTGTCTTTTCTTGTTGTCTATTTTCTCTTTGCATTTTGTTCATTAAAAATTATTTTTACAGGACACCCTCACTACTTGAACCAGCTGTCCTGTGGACTGGACCTGGTGTCTCTGGCTGGTGAATGGGTCACTGCATCTGCCAACACCAACATGTTCACCTATGAAATAGCACCTGTGTTCATCCTGCTGGAGAATGTGGTGCTGCGGAAAATGAGGGAGGTGATTGGCTACAAAGGAGGGGACTCCATCTTGTGTCCTGGTGGCACTGTGTCCAATATCAATGCAGTGCTCTGTGCCCGCTACAAGCACTTTCCTGAGTGTAAAACCAAGGGGGTACATGGACTGCCTTGTCAGCCTGTGCTCTTCACCAGTGAGCACAGCCACTATTCCATCAAAAGTGAGTTATTCTTCTTCTAAAATTCTCTTCATGTGACAAATACTCAGCTTGGGATATAATTTGCAGATTCATGAGTTGAAATTGTGCAGGTACAGTAATACCAAACTAATTTAAAATTAATTCAAGCTTCAGCCATTGATTTCTTGTTGATGAACATACATTATTTGCTGCTTGTCAGCATTCACAAGGTTAAAAAATGTTCCTCTCCCCCCCCCCCTCCCCCAACACCCAAATATCTTTAAAAAATAATAATAACTAAAAATAACAAAATACTGTATACATCACATGCAGTAAAAAAACATGCATGAATTCTTTGTTTTGATTTTTGTTACCGAAATGGAAAATGCGCAACTAGTGATCACAATTTAGAGGGCAAAGTATTCAGCCAGTTCCCATATACAGTTGAACCTCTTCAGGTCAAATTTCATGGGACCAGCAAAAATTCAAGTTCGGGAGGGTTTGATTTATGTAGATGTTTGGCTTATGGTATCAGGGATTTTATCATGGGAAACATTAAAGAATTGCACTACGTGGTCATATTATGGGTCTTAAATTGCTTAAAATAATGAGTTGACAGAGTGCTGAACTTGGAGACAGGGGTTCATTTGCCCAATTAATTTAGTCCGTCACATCCATTCAAAGAACATCAATTCCGTTTGTATTGCTTTTTTTATTTCCTGTTTCAATAAAAAAAAGCCTAATGGCCTCAAACAATTTGACTTATGGAGGTTTGGGAGGAAAAGCCTTTGAGTTAAGGAGGTTTTCAATGCATTTTTCTTAGGGAATTCAGGCAGGGACTTCAAAACATTGACTTAGGGAGGTATTTGACTTATGGACGTTCAACTTAGCAAGGTTTAATCTGTAATTAATGATCAATTGAACAATTTAGAAAGAATCTGTGACTATTTCTAAACAATTGAAGTTGGTGCTGACGGTGTTGAATGTTGGGTATAGGGAAAGTAGATGTTGAAAAAACCAATTAACCAATTTTTGTAAGCTACAGAAAGATATGCATTAACATCCCAATGAACTCTTCATGTTAAAAATCTCCAGGTTTGAGACTAGCTCTTTCAAATGGTCAAAATTGAAATGCAATGTGTCAATCAAGTTTGAGATATATGAATATGGTCTGCATGCTTTTGTTTTATAGCTGCTGCATCTGCAGCTGGTTTGGGGACAGATAATGTGGTGGAGGTAAAGACAGATGCCAAGGGTAAGATGATCCCAGAGGAGCTGGAGAAACAGATTGTGGCTTGTCTCAATTATGAAGGCCCTGTGAAGAAGAAGCCCTTCTTTGTCAACTGCACTTGTGGCACAACTGTGTTGGGGGCCTTTGACCCTGTGGAACCAATTGCTAACATCTGTGCCAAATATGGGCTCTGGCTCCACATTGATGTGAGTCATCCCTTTCATCTTGGAAGTTGACAACTCATTCCTTCAAAGGTTTAGCATATGTTTCTATATGATAATTCTTCTTTTTTTGCAGGCTGCCTGGGGAGGTGGACTGCTATTATCTGAAAAGTACAGAGCTGAGAGATTCCTTGGAGTGGAGAGGGCTGATTCTGTGACTTGGAACCCCCACAAACTCATGGGCTGCTTGTTGCAATGCTCCACTGTTCACCTCAAAGAAGATGTAAGTTTCCTTTTACATCAAATTCAATAGTTTATCCTCCTGAAGACATTTACAGATTACAGTACATGCCTAAATCTGTTGAAACTGGTCTTATTTCATTATGCTCAAAATTTCAATTTTCACGGTTAAAATTTGTCTTATAGATACTGTATCCCTTTGATTACAAGAACAAAAAGTTATGTTTATGCAGCATTCAAGTGAATATTGTACAATGTTATAATTCTTCAGAATGGAGGCATAAAAATAATTATAACTTATCATAATTCCATCTCTCAAATTTCATTTTCAGTTGCCAGGAAATTATATACTGTCATCTTGTGTGTTTAGAAGTGTTTTTTCTGGGACATCAAGTATATAGCTTGAAGAAGATTTGTTCCCAAATATCAAGCTCTAGGACTTGAAGCAACTTATCTTTCAAAAGCTTATTTGAAGCACATTAACTTGAACCTCCATAACTCAAAGGCTTTCCCTCTCAACTTGAATTTTCTCAAGTCATTTTGGCTTTTTTTTTTACCTACTGAAAAGGAAAAAATAATAAAAGTGTAACTTTATTGATGCTTTTTTTAATGAGGTAAAAGACTAATTTGGCAAATGAACGCTTGCCCCCAAGTTCAGCATCCTGTCAACTTCTTTACAATACAACTTTGGGTTAATGCTAAAAGCATCACTAATAGTTTCCACTTCTCCCAGTTCCTTTTATTTTGAGACAAAAATGGTTGCTTCCCTAACTCTAAAGGTTCCTAAGATGAATTAGTTTTGCTGTTCCTTTAGAATTTTACTTCAAGAGGTTCAATTGTATATTCCTCACAGAAGACACTTGCACAAGACAGAGGGGCAAATGCTTGATGTCAATACATACCTCAGATGACAGAGATGAATAAATTGTGTTTGTCAGAATGCAGTGTCAGTATAAATAAAGAGAACAGTATGAACTATAAGCTGAACATGTTGCTGGGATTACAAGACATTTCAGAGCAGCTCATTATTTCTTGCTGGCCAAGATCCATCAGTTGAAAATCATGACTGTGTGCTGTCATCAATCACAAGCATAATTATATATTTTACTATACATTTATGCTTGACCATTTGTTTTTGTTTTTCTTTGTACCACAAACAAAAATCGGCAGGGAATATTGATGAACTGCAATCAAATGAACGCCGAGTACTTGTTCCAAGACGACAAGCAGTACTACGACTGTCGCTTCGACACCGGCGACAAGGTCATCCAGTGCGGGCGCCACAACGACATCTTCAAGCTGTGGCTCATGTGGAGAGCCAAGGGCATGTCCGGCTTCCGGCGCCACATAGACGGCCTCATGGCCACCGCCGAGTACATGACGGAGCAGCTCAAGGCGGACACTTCTGGCCGCTTTGTGCTGTTGTGGCCTGAGCCAGAGTGTGTCAACATCTGCTTCTGGTCAGTCCTCTTTTGTTTTGGGGTTTTATTTGTATCATTATATTTTTTGTTTTAGTTTTTCTTTAGGGACAAAAATACCTTTNGAATGTGGGATCGGAACGAGAATCCGGTTCCCCAAAGGAGACATGTCGTCGTTGACGAGAACGCAATTGTTGGTGTCAAACCGGGGCACGTGCGATTTAACCCACTGTCCTTTGCAACCCACGATGATCGCCTTTTTCTTCAGACCTTTGATGGCCACAAGAACCTTGTCCCCTGTTTTTTCAAGAGATGTAAATTTCTGTTAATGAATCTCTGCAAAGGAAAGTAAGTGTCGATGTCCTTGATCGCAGGGGACTCTCATGCGACACGGTAACTACTGAATTTTTATTGCGCAATAATGCTTCACACCCTATCCTGAACAGCACGATGCACCGAAGTAAAGAAACCAGGGCCTCAAGTGAATAAAACTGTTCCACCAAAGGTGTGAGTTACCCTATTGACTTGAGTAAGATGTGCATCAGGGTTTCTTTTCAGATAAAATCTTATCCCCAAGTGAACCCATTTCTAGGGAATCTATAACTGCTATATTTCAAAAATAAAAACACCAGAATTTGAATATAGACATGAATTGAACCCAAATTCAACTAATTTTCAATTGTTTCAATTAAAACTCGTGTACAAAGTAAATTTGGTCCATAATGTCCCATGAGAATCAAGTATAATGCACACCCGGAGTTCTAAAACTTTTGAAACAATACATGCCCACCTATGATGCACATCCCCTTTCCCCCTCAAATATGAGAGAAAAATGTGTGAATGGTGCTCAAGTAAATATTGTGATATTCATTTTTATTAATCAACAGTCTTCTTTCAGAAGTCAGTCAGTTCAACGTCATTTGAAACGGTATCGACCACCAATGTTCAAGAAGGCTTCATCAAATAGGAACCTCATCTGAGAAGATTAAAGACTGCCCAAGAAAGCGAAGTAAATGTCCGGAAACTGAAGTTAAAATCTTGAAAAGAAAATTACAACCTCCCATCTACAACTCAGGGTCGATCACTGAGAACACAATAAAATTATTTGCATTCCTTCAGTTGAATTTTTCAGAATTCAGATTAAAGCGTCACCAACATAAAGTTCTAGAAACTCCGCCCGGGTTGAACCTCATCCCTGGAGATTCACAGCAGGAGTTGGGTCTTTCTTTACTGCGGATGTAAAGGAAAAATTCTCACCTATGTGCCCGACACCACGCTTGTTGTACACGTGAATGACTTTCGGGGGTT